GGGGGGGCTGCCTTCCACGGTCAACCTGGCCCTTTAGGTCAGTACCTAGTACACTGCCGGCCTCCTCGCCCGCGCGAGCGCTTGCTGCCCAATACTGTGTGTACTTTGGCTAACGAATGAAGAAGAAAAGCGGGTTGAACGTCTACGGTTTGGATCTTCCCCGGCCCCACTTCCCGGGGCTGTTGGGGGTTAATGCTCGATCCTGTTGTCAGTTAATTAGCAGATGATACCTTAAATATTTTCACCAAATATGAAGAATACATAAGTAACTTTAAGGTGTCAGCTAGCTATAACTCTCGATGAGCAGGAGAGAGAACTAAGAGCACAACCAGAATTTTTATTTTTGCATTAAACCCTTTGATATAAGTAACACAGTACATAAACTTTTCTTTAAGCCAACTTTTTTATTTAGTGCTGATGTCAGAGTCACCTAAAAAGGTACACACACTTTTAAAAGACCCAAAGGCTCTGGATAAAAGTTGACAGTTTGTCTAAGGTTTAAAAAAAAAAAAATTGTCTACTTCCAATAATATACTTTACACAACATTACAAAATGATAAGAAGCAGGTACAGATTGTCATCAGACAGAGGGACATTGAACTTTGCACACTTTACTCTTCTGAACCAAGGACTTTTGCTTACCATCAGCATGAAAATAAATACATATAATGGACATGGCAAACAAAATCCAAACACCAATTTTCAATTTGCAATTACATTTAGACACTCACTTGCCACTTTTGAGGTACTAGAAAAAGGCAAAAGGCCCTTGGTGGAACACACAAAGACTACAATAAACGTTACATACACAAGTAAGCATCTTCTGTCATAATTAGCAAACCATACCAGACAAGGGGCATTATAAGCCAGCATAGCTGCCTGCCTAATACACAAAATTAAGGCTGCAATTCATGCAAATCAATATAATTACCCATAGAAAGAGGCAGACTCACTAGATGAACAGAAAAAGAATATCTCCTACGAGCTACAAAACTTGCTTCAGAATATTTCAGAAACAAAACATTAAGTTCAAATTACCACAGGCTAGAAATTAAATAATAAACAAACTAAACATTAAAGAGAGGGTTTTAAAGATTCAATGGGAAAGTAGATAGAGAAAATGAAGTAGAGGTTTCTGTAGTTGGAGTAAAAACATTGCTCCCAAGCAGAAAAACACTTCACGCAAAGTCTATAATCTAATTGTCTCGTCTTTTATCAGTCTTGGTAAAGGTGGTTGCTTGTACGACATTCACATTTCTTCAACTCCACAACTGTATCCTGTAGGATTAAAAAAAGAACAATTACATTTCAAATAACAAGTTCAATTGCTTTCAAATGTTCAGCAGATGGTTAGTAAGTGTGATACATACCCAAGTTCTCTTTTCCAGAGAGAACTGCTGCAACAACAACTAAATGCTCAGGTGGGGAGTGAGGAGGGACACGGTCAACAAAACAATTCTTGGTTAAGAGCCAATGCGAACCTGTAAGAAATAAAATAAAGATAATTAAAATTTGGCCCCAAAATATAATGGCTTGATAATGAGGACAAGTAAAATACAATCAGTTACCAAACCTACATAATCCTCACAATGTAAGATACTGCAGCAAGGCCGCAACTCTTTGAAAGCTGATTGGAGCCAGCATCCACCCCCCGTCATTGTCATCTGCAACAGTTGGCATCAATAAATGAGAAAAGAGACAGAGGTTTTCACACTTAAACTTCTTGCTGCTTGTGAACGATTTAGTCTCGGTGAAGCCAGTGGACCTGAAGGGGTGATGGGGTGATCTGATTGGCTGAAACCAGCCTGAAGCTGACCCCGGTTCTCAAAAACAAATGACAGGGTGCAGTCAGCTTCACTGGCTTAACCAAGACTTAATCGTTCATTATGTATAGCAAATCAGCAAAGATCTGGGCAAAGTTATCAACATAGAAATCAACACACACCACATATTTCTACTGAGCAACTGATAAAGTTTGAGTTTTCAAATCAAAACGTGCAAAGAAGTATTTTAGAAAGAAAGTACCTGATGTAAAATAATTTTGAACTACATACCATGATAGCCAAACACTCCTTTCCTGCGAGGAAACTGCAAGAACAAGAAGCTCCTACCACCGTGCAATTGAGCAGTACATCCGGCATCTCCAGGTTAAGACAGACTCCAGACTTTTCAAAACTGGGGATGAGCACTGGACTTGTTGAAGGCGATAACCACAAATACCTGCAACAGCAAAAATTTAATGAGTAATAGAACATAACAGGGATCCAAGACACGTACTACGACCTGGTCAATATGCCAAGCAGATATTTGCATGGGGAAAGATAGCAATATGAAAGGTTTGAAGCATATTGCATGAACAACAAACACACAATGGCGCACAGCATGAATTTAAGTGCAAAGATAAGCACTGCCATAACACACCTAAACTTTGCGCCCCACAGTACAAGCTCGTGGAAGTTTGTTTGTCTCCTCACCTTTGGAGAAACGCAAGACGAGTTGCACAAAAGAGTGACCGGTTGACACAATAACATTATCTTCATTGTACGGCGAGGGTTGCAAATAAACCACAAACATCAGAGCGTGTGCGAAAACCACTGGTCACAGTTTGGTTATCCAAGTTGTCATAGCCACAACACATATGGCATGGCATGAGACCAATAGATCATAAGCAACGATTAGCAGTGAACCCAGAGAGAAATAGGTCGTGGAAAAGACGTGGACTCCACGTGGTTTCGTGGATTTTTCGTGGTGGTGGATACATCCACCAGATATCCACCACTATTTACCTTTCTAAAAAGTTGCAAATATAATCATAAGAAACCATTTTTTCGTCAACATTTCTTACTAAATGGGATTTTTATTGTTCTGAACGCCATATTCTAGTATATTGTCAATTCGACGTGGAATCCACGTCGAATCGACGTGTATCAGTTCGTCTGTCGTTTACACGTCGATTCCACGTTGATCTCACGTCGATTTCCTCGAAACCCTTGATTTAGTTGCTCGTACCAGTTGGTCTCAAATGT